ATTTTGGAGGGGCCTTTTTCGTAAATGGAGTTTGGTTTAAAGGGTAAGATTGAATGGTGGGATTTTTGAGGTGGTGGTTTTTGTTTGGTGGTTCTCGTTGTAGGCATTGGTGGCTCCTCCGATGTAGTTAGACGCCTCACTAAGGCTGTCGCAGGCTGTTGCTTGCGTGTGGTAATGACGGGTTGGAGGGAAGGAAACAAAGGGAGCTGGTTTGGGAAGGTTGCAATGAGCGATTTCACAAGAAGCGTTTGGAAGTTGGTGACCTTTCAGTGTCATTGAGTGGAGCCGGTAGGTTTGAGAAGGTCTGGTGATTTTCATCAGTGGCCCCCATCATAGAGCTTATTCAGTGGAATCAAAAGATTTTGAGAATTGGCTGGGTCAGGGGAATTGAATTTGGAGGAGTTTAGTGGATTGTAAGGCTACCAGTGATTCGTTTAAATTGCCATTTGGGTCTGACCAGATCTCATGTTATGGGTGCCTCGGTATAGACGTCATTGTGATGGTGTCCATTTAAGATTGAAAAGAATAATAATTAGGTCTAGAAGGGCAGACCCCTTTTTTTCTTCCTTCTCTTAATAAGTCCACTGGGTGGAATCGTTATTAGCGAGCAATGAAGAACTAGGGCTACTTCTGGCAGTATTTGCTTCCGATTCAACCACTTTTTTGCAGGCCTGTTTCTTAAAGGTACCATGAGGTGATTTATCTTCTTCCATGTCATTTCACCGGCTTTAAGCCTTTTGATCTATCCTACAAGAATACGTTATCAACTCCATCTCAAAGTGTGTAGTTCACACGCCGACCACCCCATTTCCCATCCTCATCAAGTTTCTTGATATATAAACTTGATTTTCAAATCGTCTATTCAAATAATTTTGTTCTTTTTCTCTTCTTCCTCCCCTCAACATCGCTATCCTAATTTTTCACTTCCTCACTAGGCCTCTCCTACATGGCGCGTTCTCAACATCAACATTTGCAACCAGAGGGAAGAAAACCACCACCAGACGCTCCGGCCTCTACACACCCAATTGGGACAAATCCTCGCCATTTTAGGCTTAAAACCCCCCGCTTTCATCCAAAACCACCCACTTATCTTTTACATCACCCCAAAACATGCTTCTGGACGCCCTTCTGGGAGAGTACACTCTTACCCACCTACGCTGTCGGGCGTTCCAGACGAAACCACTTGCCATGTCTGTGGAACGTCCGCCTACACTCAAAATCAAGCACTTCTTCCTTTTGTCCGAGAAATCAAGCAACAACCCAGTCCTCGCTCTCGAAGTCTACGTCTACTTGTCCTTTGAAGAGCAGCTCGTTCAACACATATTCATTCCAAAGGCAGACACTACTGGTCTCGGTAAGAGGATCTCGGCAAAAGCGGTGGTTCACGAACTCGTAAATCGGGTTCTTGCGATAAACCCTGGTTCCTACTTGGCTGAACCGGTTGCATGGCATAAACCCTCCAAAGAATCCAAAGATGACTCGTCTGATAAAAACTTATCACCTTACCCTACGGTCAATGCTTTGCGGGAACTTGCGGCGAAAATCAGAAATCCAGAACCTCAAGAGAAAAAACAAGCCCATGTTCCAGTGACTCCAGAACAGTACATTACCAAGGTCTCTCTCTTCACGCGTGCTGCTAACGCGTATATCTTTCCAAATTCAGAGCAGAACAAAGGCAAGCATCTTGCCGACGGAAATGCTCTTTTCTCGTGGTGGGTGCAAATTCTAGAAAAAGTGCTTCCTGAGACCTGGAAATGTACAGCTGATCTTCCAGGCGCTGAACCGGCGGCAGTATCTCGCTACCTTCCAAAACGCTGGTCTCGTGGCCACATATTCGAGAAAGAGACGTTGGCAATTCGGGAAGTTCCCTTGTTTCCAGATGACCCTAAGGGCCGTTTCCTAGAACACTTGGTAGTTGAAGGACGCTACAGGTCGGTAAATGTCGCTCTGTTCTGGGAGGAACTCGGCTTTCGTCAGGAATTCCGACTTGGCAATGTCGTGGGCATCATTGGTTGTGAAAATGTTTATCCTGTTGCAGTTGGATCATCAAGAATGCCAGGCCTCAGTGTCTCCCACAAACAGTACAAGAAAATTGTCGATTTCATAAAAAGCGAAGATTACGCTGCCCCTGACGTCTCGACTATGATTACGCTGGGGCTTCCCGAGGTATTCAAACAGAGTGGTTTGGAATATGAACCTGAGAGGATAGTCGGTACAAGGCAGGTGGCTGCAAAGGAAACCAAAAGTGCTGCTCCAGTGAACACTCTCACGGCGAAACGTCCAGCCGTGAACAACTTAACTGGTCTTGTCCGCAAGGCTCGCAAGTAGCATAGATTTAGCATAAATAAAAAAAAAAAAATTGCAAAGAGCAAGATCCTGCAAAAAATGATTTCGCCCAGGATCGAACTGGGGACGTTCTGCGTGTTAAGCAGATGCCATAACCAACTAGACCACGAAACCGTTGTTGAAGTGATCAGCAAGCTGGTTTAATATATGGACTAGTTTTTATAAAAGTTCGAAATTTGCAAATTCGATGATTTGAGTAGTTTTATTGCTTTCTCAGTTTTATGGTGGCCCCGCGAAAGTGGCTCAAACTGATTTTTCACAGAGTTAGCTCAAGTATCTCTCTAGTTAGCCCTTTTAAAGCTTCCTAAAACATTTCATTGGCTTTAATTCATCAATTTTAGGCATCTAGATTATTTGGTAGCTGTCTATAGGACTTCATCAAGGATTAAATCCGTTATCGCTTTTCATTTTGCAGCCAGTTTATATGCAGGTATGATGATGAAAGACCGTGGAAAGGCGTATTTCCTCGAAGCACGAACATCATGAAAACGTTATTTCATTTTTTTTCTTCCACTATTAGTGTATTAATACAGATGGCCGTGTTGCAGTCTACCTAAGGAACGTAGAAAACGAAGTTTACGTGAGTCTATCGTATATATGCACAGTGACACATCCCAGAACTGTTTTTGAAGCATTCCAAGAAGTGTAATAGCATCTTTCACGCCTCTAGTCCCACTAATGTACTTTCCAGGCGTGCAGAGCTACTTGCCGAATTTACGTTACATATTTTATTATCTACAATTCTCAACCTACTCCCAAACGCACCAAAAAACACCAAAACACAACTTACTTCATTAAATCAAAAATTTCATAAAAATAAAAAACAGCAAGAGACATCCAAACTCGTGCCCTTCCCAGCCAAAACGAAACAAGAAAAAATCTGTTAGCCTTTGGTTCCCCTCGGTTGCGGATAAGCCCTGTTTCACGCCTTGCAGCCGTTTAGATCGTGCGCCTCACCCATCGATAACAACTTAACTCACACGACAGCACAAACGAGAACCACGGTGGCGAATCCAGCAAGCAAGCAATCCACAGTATGAGAATTCATTGGATTTGATTGTAAATGATTGAATTGTTAGATGGCACCATCTCACAGAACTACAAAGACAGTTACACGTCTGACAAGATCCACTAAAGAACACCCTACAACGCCACGAAAGTCAACCAAAACACACAAAGGCCTTTTCTTTGCCACCCGTGATTTAACTCTTTGTGCTTTCTTCACCACACTTATCCAATTCCACAGATCCACCGACTCACCTAAACAGCATATACCCATCCATGGTGGCCCTACAACAAACCAACACCACCCAACCACAAACAAACAACCATAGAACCGAAAGCCTTTCCCAAAAACCACCCAATCACAAAAATACAACACAATCCACCAATCCCTATTCCAGATCGGAGCGGCGCTAGACCTGCGCGTATATAACCGCGCCAGATCCGCTCCACTTCAACTACTCACCTTCTACTGATGCCCCACGTTATCGTACTTGGAGGCCTGTTTGCAGGCTGCCACGCCACCAAGATCCTCCGCAAAGAAGGTGTTGATGTCACCCTCGTACTGTCGCTGTCCCACGCGTACTACAACTGTGCTGCTCCTCGTCTCCTTGTCCAGCCAGATCTCATTGACAAGACGCTCTTTTCGTTGAAGGAGTACGCCGACAAGCACGGTGCCAAATTCGTCCAGGCTGCTGCGGTGGCGGCCCGTCTTGACCAAAACGAAGTAGACGTTCGTGGCGAAACCGAACAGACCCTCAGCTACGACTATTTAGTGGTGGCCACAGGCACCCGCAGCGGCGATTTGGGCTTCAAGGTGAATGGGCTGGCCCAGGAGGCTGTTGGCGCCATTCGGGAGTGGAGCGACAAAATCAAAAAGGCCGAAACGGTGGGCATTTTAGGGGCTGGTCCCACGGGCGTGGAGTGCGCCGGAGAAATCGCCCATGATTTAGGCAAAAAAGTTGTATTGTACTCTGCCCTGGCGCCGTTAGACAGATTTAACCTTCCCGGCGCGCAAGCGAAACTTGCTAATTTGGGCGTCGAGGTGGTCCAGGTGCGGTACGAGCGCATTGTGCCGGGGCCCGGTGGGTCCACTGTGGAGTTTGAGGATGGCCTGCTGCGTACCTTTGATGTGGTGTTGAACACCACGCATTACACTCCGAGCCTGGAGTTTTTACCCGACGAGGTTAAGGACGAAAAGGGGTTTGTAGTGACCGACGAGCGCCTTGTTGTAAAAGGCTTCGAGAATGTTCTCGCTTTGGGCGATATTGTTGCAGGTGCAGCGCAGCTGGTGGTGGATCTAAAATTTGGCCAGTTGCCTGTTTTTGCAGCCACCGCGAAATCAGACATCGCAGGTCTGGCTACCAAGAGCAAGGCCTACGCACCCGTCACCAGCACCATCTTGGTGCCTATCTCTCGCACGGGCGGCGAAGGTAGACTTTTCGGCTGGTGGGTTCCAAATATTGTTGTTCGCTTCTTGAAGTCCCGCGACTTTATGATCAGTCAGGCCCCTGGCGACTTTACCTAGTGTGCATGTTGCAGAGCAACCGGATGACCTATAGCCGCTAGCAACTCTTGCTTGCTGGGCCAGGGCTGCCATTTATAAGCGCCGTGGCCCCTCGATTTATGAACTTTTCTTACTAATCATCAACATGTTTCGTCAATTGACCCACCTCTCGCGTACTGCTGCTATCCCAAGACAGACCATGGCCTCTCGTGCCTTTACTGTCTCGCTAGCCTCGAGAAAATCTGTGGTTGACACCGCCAAAGACGTTTTAGAAAAGGCCAACAAGAAGACCGGTGAGTTTTTGGCTGGTACCATCGAGAACACCGAGAAGGTTGCCCCTACTGGCGAGAACCTCAAACTGGCTGCCGAGAAGGTCAACCAGAAGACTGGTGACGTTTTGGCTGACGGAATTGAGAAGACCCAGCTGGCTGCTGACAGCGTCAAGGACGTCGATCTCAAGGGTGCTGCCTCGAAGGTGAACCAGAAGACTGGTGACGTTTTGGCCGATGGCGTCGAGAAGGCCGAGGGTGTTGCCGGCAAGGCTAAGGAGGCCGCTTCCGAGGCCAAGGAACGTGCCTCTGACGTCAAGGATGAGGCCCAGGCCAAGGCTAAGGTCAATGCCAATACCGCAGGTTACGAGAACCTCCAAGACAAGGGCGCTAAAGTTGAGTCTGAGCAGAACCGTCCTGACGACGCTGTGTAAAGGTGATGCATTCATACTTTGTTTGATCCAGGGCTGACGAGCTATGTAAAAGTAATGCATTCATATTTGTTTGATCCAGGGATTGCAATTGCAATCTGAAGATGTAGAATGATCGAGATTTTAGCTTGCTGCAAGTGAATTTGACAGGGCAACCCAAGAACTTCTTGGCTCAATGCAAAAATACCTAAAGCCAATGAGATCAACGATTTACTAAGCTACGTGGATCTGTCGTACTGAAAATATATTCCAAATCCTCATAAATATTACTGCACTATTCGCTGGGCCAATTCCCGGAATGTACTACCCGAGCCTCTGTGAGGCCTTTCAACGTGTCTTCACCTTCTTCACCTATTTTATCCTGTATGCCTAGGCCTGGAACTTCTGAAACTCGTCTACGAGTTTGTCTGACTTTGCCGCCTCAGGCATGGGCGAGGGAGCCGCTTCTACCCGCTTGGGAGGCGTTCTCCGCTCAATGATGCTCAAGTAGTTCAGTGGCACGTAGCCAACCTTGCCGGACCGCAGGCGGACCTTCCACCACTTGCTCTCGTTGCCCAAGGGGTCCAATTTGGACAAGATGGCGACGAGCTCCTTGGGCTTGAGCTCGATTTCAATGTTAGGGTTTTCAGGGTTGAACTCGTACAAGGCCTTGGCGAACTCCAAGGACTCGGGGTCGAGTGGCTGACGGCCACCTGCAGCCATGCCTTGTTCCTGGAGTCTTCGCTGCTGTGCTTGCTGGTTTTGCTGGTTGAGCTTTTGGATGGCCTTGCTGAGAAGGTAGGGGAAACCGATGGAGGCAGCCAAGAACAAGAGCAAAGGCTTGAAGGAGATGCGGGAAGACTTCTGGCCCAGCTGAGATCTTCTGAAGTTCTCCTCCAACTTCTTCTGTTTGTTCTCAAACTTGGAGAACTCCTTGGCGGAGATGCCGTGGTCGTAGACACGGCCGGTGATTTTGTAAAAGATTTTCTTTGCAAACTTGATGAGCGCAAAGATACCCAAAAGCGAGCCCAAGGCGTTCTTGAGGTTGCCAAACTGCTCCGCTAGCGAGATCATGGTGAAGAACGACGAGTGGGTCGCCATGTATGTGGCCTCTAGCATCTGGGCAAAGCCGCCCACGGCGCCGATGATCGACTCTATAAGCTGGAAGGTGGCCTGTGTTCCCTCAGCGATGGCGCCAGGCCCGTTCATGCCGTTTTGGCCATACATGCCGTTGCCGTAGCCCATTCCTGAGCCGTACATGCCCGAGCCGTAGCCAGAGCCGTAGCCGCCGTACCCTCCGTACATGGACGATCCATAGCCGCCGTAGCCTCCGTACATGGATGACCCTAGGCCACCTCCGTACATGGAAGAGCCCAAACCACCGCCACCATACATCGACGAGCCATAGCCTGAACCGTACATCGACAGCCCTAGGCCTGAGCCGTAGCGGGAGGCGCCCATACCGGAGCCGTAGCCCAGAGAAGCCATGGAATCAAGACCTGTTGGGTTCGTTAAAGACGAAGGTCTGTCAGGGATATCCTGAGCTGCAGTAAGGTCGGAGCTGGGAGCTGTCACGGATCCGGCCGAGACAGGGTCCGACGCGGCCGCAGCCAGGGTGCCCAGGGAGACCTCCCAAGGTTTAGTTCTTGGGGCTGACATGAATAGATAAGGTTAGTTGGTGGTTTTTTTTCCTGTGACTGTTGATGTCGCAGTGGGGTAGTCACGTGGCCTGGGTCGAGGACCCCGTTTATATTTGCGCTTTGGGGGAGGCAGGTAGGGGTGGATTTATGGGATTTTTAGATTTGGTGGATTTTGGGTGGTTGGTTATGGGTTTTTGTGTTTTGGCGTTTTGGACGTCCCGGGTGGTGGAGATATATGGGGGTGTATCTCCGCGGTCAGTTTAGACCGAGGTAGGTGTGGACGGAGGAGATAAGGTATGGAAGAAGGAAGGAGAAGAAAGGAAAGATGTTCTTATATTTGAGTGAGAAGGGAACTTTAATTGGTTGGCTGATGATGAAAAACGGTGCCTTCGGAGGACTTGTAGTGGAGATGTTGATGGCCTACGGTCTGGTTAGCTGCAGTCGGTGTTCAATAGCCGATGCACTGTAGCCCTGGAGTATGGGTCAGAAGTCCGATTTTTTTGGGGTTGGGCGAGGTTTGGCGTTTTTGGGGATTTGTGGTTTTGACTGAATTTCGGTATGGTTGTTGGAGGTGAAGGGCTTGGATGTCGTGAGTGTGAAGTGTGTTTTAGTGTGATGCTATTAATGCTACGTGGGTATACTATTAGAAGAGATTTAGGCGATGGTCAGAGTTGGAGTCGAGAACTCTTAAGATCAATGTGGACAAGAAACCTTCATAATATATCACTGCTATTAAAGCTTCGGTAGAGTAACATCCAATACTAATGGTCCTCCATGACTTTGAGCTTGACTGAGAAACAGCTCTTTACATTTGGTAAGAATTCCAAAGAATCAAAATTATCACAATAAATTATAATTGAGTCCATATCTTTGGATAAGTGCCATTGCTGGATCCCCTTCTTGACACCTTCAATACCTGAGACAATGCCTGTGATCGGATAAAGTCCGAAGGAAGTGACGTCACACACCACAGGATGGAGAAAGGAAGGCCATTTTGACACTCGAACGATAAGTATTAGGCTATCTCTTACGGATGCAAAATAAAATATCATACCTATTGGTTGGGCTAAAACTCACCCCCGAGAGGTCATTGCCAGGTCACTGCCAACCACCCACAATCTCCCGCGAAGGAGGCTTTGCACCCAAATGACCAACATCCAGCTCCGTGGGTCTGGGGTACATAATTCTTAGTCACACTTGCACAATTAGCACGGTCTTGTTGCCTCGGAGGCCGTGCGGCTCACTTCCTCGGTCCCCCACGCGCCCCACCTTATAGATGGCTGCAAAAGGCGGGGCAGGAGTGAGGTTTTTCCGGAGCATGATGGAGTTGTTGGGACATCACGAGGCGGCGTGAAAGTTGATTGATTGTGGGGATCAGTGATTGTATTCGTGATTATATTCGTGAATGTATTCGTGATTGTTATTATCAGTGGAAATATCGAATAGCCTGGGACCTTCATGGTGAATGGATTCACTGCTACAATGCCTTTGAGAGCACTAGAGCTGTGCTTAGATACTCCAAATCAATACGGTTCAATCAATAACCGCTTTATCTAAAACTACTCGGAAACCTCGTCCTCCTACACATCTGTATCCTTCTCTTTATTGAATCTATGCCACGACGACTCGCGCTGTGGATGAAGCAGGACTATGGCAAAGGCTCCAGCGAGCTGCTCAACCGGTTCAAATGAATATACACATCGGTACCGTAGCCCTCCATGGAGATCAACTTCAAGTCGCCGCCAAAGTACTGAGCGTACAAACGGGAGATGGGCAAACCGTAGCCGAAACCAGCCATGGGTGCTCTGAAGCTAGTCTGGTTGTTTCCGTCCGAGTCCAACACGGGCGTCTTGTCCACGGTGGTGTACAAATACGTCCAGATCAACGGGATTTCAGAACGGGCAATACCTCCACCTTCGTCAGAGATCTTGATGGCAATGTCCTCGTAGCCCTCACTAATGATAACCTTTGTGGGCGGGAACTTCAAGTCGTTGAGGTCGATGTCGCTCTCCTTCATTTTCGGATTCTCTGCCAACAACTGCTCCTTCAACCGAGGCGTGTGGAATTCAATGGTGGCTCTAAGAGAGTTTTTGAGCACCTCAAACAAAATGTGGATCAAATGGCCCGGAACATACATGAAACTGATCAGGTCCTGGGGCACAATGAGCTGGATCTCGGGCGCCTCAAAGAGGCCGTAGTGCTCCTCACAGATGTACTTGGCTGTCTCGGCTGCATCCTCGGCGATTTCCTTAACATTGCAGTCGGTGCAAATGACACCGACGTAGTTGTTTCTGCCGTTTTTGGCGTTGCCCTGGTTCCCGTTACTGCCGTTCAAAAGCGTGTTGAGCCTCTGTTTTGTCGGCAGCTGCTGCAGCATGTTCAACGCTATGTGCTGCCCAATAAGCATACGGATACCTATTCTCAGCATGTAGAAACGGTCCAAAAACGTCTGGATCGCCAGGTTCACACTCACAATCTTATGCTCTGTTTTCCACTCCAGCACGCCCTGCGCCATCGTGGCCACCGTGGCATCGTGCCGTTTCTTGATCTTGCTGAGTGCATCGTGCACCGCCTTGTTGTAGTCGTACACCTCCTTCGGCCACACAATGTTCATGGGACAAGGAGTGAAATACGTCTTGCCAAACGTAGGCGCCTCCAGCCTCAGCTTCGTCAGCCGGGCGCCCGTCAGCGAATGTGGATGGTGTCTTACGACAATGCCGTCGTCGGAGAAGACGTTGTTGACGGCCACGTTGTTCAGCTGCTGCTGCGCCAAGTTCAGCGTTTCACTTATCTCTGACGTGTCGCCAGCCTGGCCCACCAGACGGGCATGACCGTTGTTGTTGGACTGTAGAAGCTCCCTGAGTTTGTCGTCGACTTTTGGTTTCGGAAGCAGCGTGAGTTCCTCAAAAGACTGGGCGTACCAGTTCTTGACCTTGATGGTGGATGGCTGCTTGGAGAGTCCCAAGGGGGCGTTTTCCAAATCCTTGACCTTCAAGGCCAAACGAATGGGGAGTTCTTCCACGATGAATTGAGAAGCAAGAAAGATGGATCCGGGCAGCGGCGACGGACCGAACTGGACCATCTGCCGGATCAGAATCGACGTCTGCGGATAGCTGGCATAGAGATATATCTTTTCCCTGAGCGCCTGGGTGAGTTCCCAGGCTGTTCCCATGTTGGTGGTTTTGATTTTGAAGGTTACCCCAGAAAACCGGGGCTGCGGAGATCACGGGGTGCAGGTCACGTGACAAGCTCCTCGAGAAAGGATTGCTCCCCACTCCTTCCACGCCCCTCGAAAGTTTATTCTGGTAAGGTGGGATGGAAGATGGAGGGTGGGGGTATGTTTGGAGGTATTTTATATAATCATTTAGGGGGGCTGGGGTGTGTTTTGCTGGGGCTCTTTTGTGGTGACTCAATGCGCAGTTACGGCAGATGCACCGTTGCTTACCTGGTTTCAATAAATTAGATTCGTCAGCAAGTGTGGAATAATCGATAATTTAGTGCTTCTGAAGGGGCCTTCTCATAAAGGCCCATTATATCAAAAAAAGCCCCTTCTGGTGTCTACATGGGATTCCCCCACCCAAGGCATAAAGTGAAAAAACAGGTCTCTCGGGACATCCGTTCGTCCGAGGCACCTCACGCCGCCGCCTTCCACTAGTCAAAAACTTCTAAATTTCAATTTTCTTGCTGTCAGCAGCGTTTCCTCCCGCTGTGCCGATTGGCTGCAAATTGCTCGAGTGTATGGCGCGGTTCTGGTGCATAGTGTGATTTTGACTGGGTATTTTTCACAGGCTTCCGCGGTCTCACTAGCAGTGACTTTTCACTTTTTGCACCCACGATAAGGAGGGGACGGAGGGCTTAACTCTCGGAGTTTTTGGAATAAGGTTTGTGCTTGAAGTGGTGAACGTTTGTAGGGTAGGTGGTTGAACGGCAATTGGTGGTTTTTGGATATTGGAGATTTTGAGAGGTAGCGACAATTAATGGGATAAGGATTTCTGGAAGGTAAGACTAGATCTTGCTTATGGTATATGCTTTCGTTGTGATTCCCAGGTTTGATGGGATAGTGGATAATTGTAATCGTTTCAATTGAAAGCTTCGATGTTGAATGAGGCCAATGACGCCTGGCTAGTTATCATCGGGTGAGCCTTTAGGGAATTCAAATCCCATAAAATCCAATACCTCAACTGTAATAATGTTCTGATGTAGTGTATTCCAGACACTATAATCGATCGGTAATGAGTACGGGGCTTCGATCAATTCCTTGTCGTTCTTCAACAGTCTGGAAACAACAGCTTGACTCAACGCCTTTGACACCAACCACTCCATTCCACACTTGCAAGATCAACCCAAGGACAGGCCATGTAGAGCCTCTAAACCGTTGCTGACGAATGGACTGATACGCTGTTATGATGTACAAACACTAAAACCCTTAAATAGGAATGGGAAGCCATACGCCAAGACCATCGTCGAGGGATGGAAAGCTCAAATCGATACTCAGGCAGTGAGGCTCTTACACAGTTGGTTATCTACACGAGAGGAGAATAAAGAAATAAGGAATCTTAGGCGAAGAATCCAAAGGATTCAGAGAGATTTTGAGTTTCGAGTGGAAGACTCCATGAGATCATGCACCTCGAGCTAAACTCATGAACTCATCTTGTGGCACTCAAATGGGGATGGAATACGTCCAATGTACATGTTTTAATTGGCTTTCTGCAAAAACATCATTGCATTTAGGCTTTCTGTATAGATAATTTTAAGAGATCTTGCTTGTCAACTTATCTACAATTGGCTCCCAGTAGATAGTGCAGGAACTTGCGTTATCTATGAAATCTTACTTCTGAGATCCACATCGTCCACTTTCCCATTTTGTGAAGCAATTGTGAACCAATTACCTTCTCACTAACCAAGCAGCCTAACAGGCTTTAAAAGGTAACCTCCCATTCGTTTCCGATATATCACCACGAGCGGAATAAATCTACCCTATTTGGCAACCCATCGATCCATACCACAAATCCCCACTGTGTGTTATCAGTCCGCTTAGTCGTAAGGCACGTCAACAAATGCATCAAACCTACTACTCCTCGCCGTATAAGGCCATCAAATCTTAGGCTTTGCGAGGCCTCTTGCATGGCAGCCTTTGTCCTTTTTTGCTTGGCGCATCGATGCACAGCTATCTTTCCCAGATAGATAGTGTGGCACTTCAAAAAAACACTCAAATGCATCGTTAAAATCACTTGGCATTCATTGGAGCCTATCAGGAGTAAGACGGAAATGTGGCACTGATAGATATCATTGAGTATATCTACTTATCAAGCGCTGGTTCAGAAAGGCCAATTGGTGAAAATAAAAACTCGTCAGAGTCAGAATCATAAATTCAGCTTAAACCCCCAGATATGACCTCAATTGACTCCTTCAATGGCATTGTGGGTCGACAAATAGTCCACACGCTGGATGGCATTGTATTGCAATGCGGCAACGAAACATTCTACGAAAATTCGTCAAACTTTTCTGCGTTGGATGTGTACAATTGTGGATTTGAAGCTGGTCAGGCCAAGTTGAAATCAGGAGGAGGTATTGTCAAGATTGGCTTGGTCAAATACCTTTTATGCTTCATGGTGGTATTGGCTGTCGTCGACATTGGTGTATTTTGAGAAGCGTTGATCATTGCAACAATACTCATTATGTCTTTGTTGAAGGGGGTGTTATAAAGGAGCAGGAAGGTTATTGGGGAAACCTTGTCGTCATCAGTCCATTCAATAGTGTGAATTTACTCTAGAAATGACAACTTAATTGTTCATTCTATACGACTCAACTTACTTAGGCTTGATTTACTCAGGCACATTGATTTCGTAAAAAGCTCTTATCAGGGCGTCCTAGACTGGCTTGGCAAGTCCATAATCATCATTGTTCTCTACATGTTTTGATACTTATGAGTCGAGGTTTAAACAATTCTATCCCAGAAGTCAATTCTTCAAACTGATCGATTCTCAAATGACAAATCTCTTGATCGTAGACATACTCTGAGGAAGTTCAATGTTGATCAGCGAAAGATAGCCCACTATCTCGACGAACGGCTTTCAATTTTTTCAAATCACTTGGCAAAAAGTACACATGAATGTCTTTGAAGGGCCGTGTGGCACGCTCTTTACACTACAAAGCCCAATACACTGCTTGGCAATCTGAGTATCTCTTCATTCTGCGGCACAATGTATCATACTCATCAAGCGGCATCGAAATCAAATTCAGCCCGCCGCAGTATATATAAGCTTGATCCGGCTCTTGATTTTCTATACTTTGCACGATGACCACAGAACAAGCGGCGGTGGCTAAAGAAACTGAGGAGTTTGTAATCACCTCCATAAAGTGTGGACATCTAGATCCCATTCTGAACGTCACTGAATCTGACGTTTTCGAGGGGTACAATTGTGGTTTTGCTGCCGCTGAGGCTTTTTTCAATGATGGAGTGAAGGTGACGTTCGGAAAGACCAAGCTCTTCGTATGTCTTCTTGCCTTGATGGCAGTTATATATTGAACGTTGATTAATGAAGAGAAGTCTAGCTAAGAGAATGGATTAGTGAGTAATACAAGAAATATGATCTGGCTGATTGTGTAATTGTCAAGAGTTCGTAAAGCAGACAGCAGCCATGGTCACCAATTCAGAGAAGGTGGTAGTCAAAAGAAGAATTAATGATAACCTAATTGAGCAGTTTCGAGTGTTGTGATGAGGGATGAAAGAACGTGGAAGAGGTTCTTCTAGTCCTTCTAACGACATCCCAACCTTGTAGAGTCTCTCACATTTATCAACACTGCTCTAACTTCATAGGAACCTTTGAGATTCAACCTCAATACTTACAAGATCATGGAAGTTCAGATAGACCATGGCCATAGTATCTTTCTGTGACGCTCAAATCCCTTTCATGTATCCAAACAAACGACCACAGCTCAATGGCATGGATGAAAAAACCCACCACGAATCCGTCTCAAGTAAACCTTGTTTGATTGAAGATCCACTACCATCCAGCCTGTACCAGCATAAAGCCTATTATTGTTTGTTACAATGATATTCTCAGTCTCTCACTAAGAATAGCGGAACTTTTGTGAAAACATTATAAACCACCGTCACACGCTTGAAATCCGGCAAATGAATCTTTTACTTGGCACCTTAAGAATGATGTCCGCTTATGCGATAAGGATATCACTAGCACACTCTTCAACTAATAGCCTGTGAAGAAAAGAGAAGAGATTTCAATAACATGCTAACCCAACCACACAGTAACCAGTATCTGGTTAAGCTCACACTTCTTTCAGAGTTTCGGTTGGCTACAACTAGATCAAACTAAATGCCTTGAAAGTATTGTTGCCTTGCGTGGCACGCAGAATACGCCGTGTATACCACTCACTTGGCAGAACAGTCATTCTTGTATGAGGCGCTTACTATTGCAAGACGAAGTCAACTCCTTTAGTCATACAAAGGCGCGTGTTTAACATCTTTACTTGATGGCCAATCCGCTGCATATATAAAAGTGTGTTTGCTGATAATGCTTCTGTACTTTAAATATGACTTCAGAGAATGCAGTGATGGCTAAAGAAAGTTTGATGGAAATCGGCAACTCCATGAAGTGTGGAGATCTAGATCCCATTTTGAATGTCACCGAATCTGACCCTTTTGAGGGATACAATTGTGGTTTTGCTGCCGCTGAGGCTTTTTTCAATGATGGAGTGAAGGTGACGTTTGGAAAAACCAAGCTTTTCGTATGTCTTCTTGCATTGATGGCAGTTATATATTGAACGTTGATTAATGAAGAGAAGTCTAGCTCAGAGGATGGATTAGTGAAGAATACAAGGAATATGATCTGAAATGTCGTAGGCTGAAGTAATCATCAAGAGTTCGTGAAGCAGACAACAGCCAAGTCAGAGAAGGTGTAAATGCAAAGAAGAATAAACGATAACCTAATTGAGCAGTTTCGAGTGTTGTGATTGGGATAAAGAATATGAATGAGAGGTGATCTTGTCCATCTAACGGCATCCTTACCTTGTCTCTCAAATTCATCAATACTGGTCTAACGTCATGAAAATTCAGCCTCAATACTTGAAAAATCATGGAAGTCAAATTGACCATTACCATCGGAATTGACTCTCTGTGATGATCAATTATGGATCCATACAAACGACCACTGCTCAATGGCATGGATGAAAAAACCCACCACAAATCCGCTTCAAGTAAACCTTATTTGTTTGAAGATCCACCACCATCAGCCTATTTTGCAGCCGCTTGCACGAGATCCGTTCGTCCGAGCCACCTCACACGAGCACACTCTCCAGAATCCCTCCCAATCTACAATTTCCAGAATCTCCCAAACCTCCCTCCCGCAGCGCCGATTGGCTACAAAACCCACAAGTGTGTTGCGGCTCCAGTGCATGGTGTGACTTTGGCGATACCGAGAAAATTTCACAGGCATCCGCGGTCCGGGGTACCGTCTAAAATTCACTTTTTGCAATCAGATCTCGGAGAATTGGGGGGAATCTGGTGGAATTGGGGGGGAACGTCAGGAGGTTCGATCCAGGGTTGAGGTGGTTCAGGGGGTTTTGGTGGAATGACAGGGAATCCGTGAATCGCCGGGAGAGGATGGGGAAAAGTGGAGAGGAGGGAGCATTAGAGGTGGATTTTTGAAGAATGGTCTGTAGAATTTCGAAGAATGGACTGTAGAATGGACTGTAGTGGAGGTAGAGAGGGTGGATGCCTTTAGAGGAAGTGGAGGAGTAGGGATCGATGGAGGGGATGAGATGGTGGAGGTTTCTAGAATGGCAGATTGTGGAGTTGTTGGAATGCTGATCTAGTTGGAAGGAATTTGATCTGAATGAATTTGATCTGGCTGTGGTTGTATCTTGTTTGTGGTTTCGGATGCCATTGAGTTGTAGTGTTGTGGTATCGATTGACGATGTGTAACATTATATTGAATTAAAGGAATGCCATGGATTTCCTAGAACCCCCTGGACCATTCATCACCACCGTTTTCCAGAATTTAGAAAAGTCTGAATTTCAAAAATCCAGGGATCCTGGAAATTTAGGAAACCCCCAAATCCTGGAAATCCCACGAACTCCCAGGATTAAGCCATCCGTAGCACCACCTTTTTGTCAACTCCAACCGCCGTAACCTCAATAGCCGAAATTCTTCCGGTCGATATATTTTCCGATTGGCCATGGACGGCTGCCTCATCCACCTTTTCCGCTCCAGCTTTGTGTCACCTGCTGTTTTCTCATGCCTAGCGTGAAGCAGGTACCAGTTCAGCCTGGCACGGCGTTTCACAAACTGACTCTCGGCAAGTGACTCCCCCAATTCTTCCAATTTTCTTATCCTACAATTTTATCCACAAATCGGCATCCAATAACCACCAACCCTCCATGGCGTTATACTTCCGGTGGAAATCAAGTGCCGAATCTGATAACCTTGGCAGGTGCATGGACGTTAACTCCCGTGTGCACAGACCAACGTCAAATTGCTCACGGCAGCAGTGCCACAGCAACGATAAGCCAAAGTGGAAAAGTCAGAAAAAAAAAAAAAAAAGGATAGGGGCCGAAAGCCACAATCCAGTCTGGTCTGGATCCGTGCGATAAGCCCACGGGTGCTATCGCCAAAGCGCAATTCCCAGGGGTGGCCCCAATGCCTAACAATTGGTTTTTTTGATAAACCATAATACATAAGTTTAATTAAGGGATTTTTATTCTTTTGGGGCCTTGCGGACGCCTGGGGGCCGTAACCACCAGTGGCCGGACGGACGGAGGGACAAGCGGCTGTCAGAAGACAGTGACTCGCTTGCGTCCTGCACATTGCACCGCCTGATGATGCCATGAATCACCGGGCCCGCGCATCCACTGGATAATCGACGCTTGTGGCTATTGAAATTAGCCGCCTATATGCAGGACGCCGTTCTCCTGTGACTCAGGCTCCCGAAAGTCCGGCGGCGCTCCGGACGCTCGCATCCTCGGAATCCGGGGTAGCATATATAAGCAGGCCTTCCCCCCCGTTTTTCATCCTCATCAATTTTCACTTTTACAAACACTTTTATCTTCATCACACATCACACGCAATGGTCAGACAGATCCTCAAAGTTGCCAACTTCAGAACTGTGTCCCGCTGTTGGGTTCCAGCACAGATCCAGTCCCAGCAGCCGATGCTGAGATTCTTCTCTTCGAGACAGAGATGTATCAACTTCAACAATGTGAACGAGCACGACAACGGCGTGAACTTGATTTCCAACGATGACGTTTTTGCTAGCGAGGAGGTGAAGCACCAGAACGAGGCTCCATTCGAGCCCACTGTGTTTTCCTCTGAGGATGTCTTCACTGCTGGTCCAGTGAACAAGGCATAAGCTTTAGCATTATTATTATTATACATAGGATGAATTACGATACCATAGAGACAGTTTGTTGATTGTAGAGGGTGGGCTCGGGCGACCGGCTCGGTCAACCGGATGAGCAACCTCACCCCACCAAAACCACCCTAGTGGTGCCCCCAAGCAAGTACTTGATAGAATTAAAGATTGTAGCAGAATTTCAAAACGTCTTTCAAAAAAATACCAATTTTCGGGCCTTCAATGTTTCTGTTTTTCCGCCGGATCAACTTTGGCATGTGCTCGGATAATCAGCCTCCCGCGGAGGTTAACCCCCGGATCCCCTGGAAAGGCTGGCTTTGTGGAAATATGCTTTACGGGTTTTTTCAAAACAGAGAAGAAAAGATGCATCCAAGCTCTGGCTCCGTGGCATCGCCAGGGAGTCGTGTGGCTCTTTGCTGAAAAGTGAAAAATGAAACATTGCATTTTCTCGATTTTTCAATTCGGCAATTTTTGAAAATCGTCATTTTTCTGATTGTTCTCCTGTTGATTTTTTTTCTTCGTAGTTCGGTGCTTCAGGCCCGGCTGAACAGGGTCTCTTGGCGAAATCTTCGGGGCTACAAGGCCGGCTATCTAAGCGTCAAACGGTCTGTACGGCGGTTATGGGTGGGTTTTTTGGAATTGCGCTCAGGCCTTGAGGAATTGGTGAAAATGAAGCAAAAATTAACGAAAAAGGGGCAAACAAGGTTAAAGATGACAAATTGAAAAAGGGGTGTTACGGGCGTATGGGTGGGATTATTCATGATTAGCGCTACAGCATTGTCGCCCTCGGCTGTACTAGCAAGTGAAAAAGTGGTTCAGGAGATTGTGGCTTTTCGGCTGGCTGTGTGGAAATGTGAAAAGTTGACGGTTGAAGGATTAGGTGATTCTGGACTTTTGGAAACGTGGGTCTCTATTTCACTGATAAGGCTCGAAAAGCAGAGCTTTGCATAATTGCTGGATCTGGAAGCGGCAGACGATGACCCGGCTGCGTGGGGTACGCTGATAAGAAGATTGATTATTGGGGGATCGAATGGGGGAATTTTTCAAGAAGATGAATCTGATGACCTAGGGTCGGTGAGTTGATTGGAGGAAGGTATTGTTTGATTGGTCAGCGATAAGGAAGTCTGGTTGGATAGTGATTCAGTCGTTTGTTGCTAGGTTTTGGCGGCTATGTGATTTACGAAACTGGAGATCTTTTGTTCTTTCTGGAGATATGATTTCGAAGTAATGCCCATGAATTTTCCCGATAACTCTCTCAAATGAGCCATTCACTACGATTTCCCTTCGTAGATTCTCTTCTACAGAAAATGAAGCATCTTTTATGTATGGAGGTGCCCTTTGTGATCAATATCCAAACCGTCACAATACCGCCTTCTCGAAATGGGTATCTCACTGTATCTTCACGATCTCGTTCCTGATCCGCTCAATGGATTTAGAGTAGCTTTCTCTGATTCGTAAAAATATAGAGAGATGATTTGCCCGTCAAAAACCTATCGGTTTGATGCAATTGATGGACTGTTTCTTCACCTTAAGAAGGATTTCATTTCACAACCATTGCAATTGCAAAAGAGACAACTGAATTAGAGTTTTTCAGCAAATTTGCCGCCATCTCTGATTCATAAGATTATGAGAATTCAATTTCCCTAATTCTGACGAAAACCGTCTAACAACACTACTGAGAAACTATGTAGGAGCCACACTAACGAACATGGTACACAACAACCATCCACAAAGACGACAATCCAAAACAGCCGATCCATTTCCAAACACTTCCAAACCCATCCAGTCAACCATAAACATCATTTTTCCAAACCCTCCATAAAACACCTTCCTTCACCTCCTTGATCCACAAGGTCTCTCTGGTGTCTGGGTGTCCCACCTTATCAACTTCCATGTCTCTTTCCATTCGTCGTTTTCTTGCTACAACAACAATGACTGCCACAAAACTCACCATCGCTGCTGGCCAGATGTGCTCTTCTTCCAGCCTAGCCGCCAATGCTCGTGTGGCTACCAAATTGATCGACCAGGCCGTTGCCAAAAACGTCAAGGTGCTTTTTCTTCCTGAAGCTGCGGATTATATCTCCAGAGACGCTGCCCACTCGGTCCAATTGGCCGGGGAAAGCAAGGAGAAGTTTATAAGTGTTTTGCAGAACCACGTGAAAAAGATCCACGATGCTGCGTCTGGAGAACCCGAAGATAAGGGCATTTTCGTAGCTGTGGGGGTCCATGAACCAGCCGTGGGGGAGAATGCCGGCAAGAAAGTGAGGAATAATCAGCTCTGGATCGATAATCGTGGTGAAATTGTCCACACTTACCAGAAACTCCATCTTTTCGATATCAACATTCCCAACGGTCCGATTTTGAAAGAGCTGAATTCGGTCGAGCCCGGGCAGGAGATTTTGAAGCCTTTTGGCGTGAACAGCGGTGAATATTCTGATTTCTCGGTGGGTTTGGCCATCTGCTACGATATCCGGTTTGGCGAATTGGCCCTCCGTTTGAGAAAACTCGGTGCCAACATCATCACTTTTCCCTCAGCCTTCACCACAAGAACAGGCGAGGCACACTGGCTCGAGCTCGGCAAGGCACGTGCAATTGACTCCCAGTGCTACGTGGTCATGGCGGCTCAGTGTGGAGAACACGATGTGTATGCTGATGTTGAGGAATCTGGAGAAGGAAAGAAAGTGCGGGTCAGCTACGGCCAGTCGGTGATTATCGGGCCGTGGGGCGAGGTTGTGGCGAAAGGCGACACGTATTTGGAGAGAGGGGCCGGCGAAGACTACAGTGAGTTAGTCGTTGGAGAGATTGACTTGGAGTACGTGGAGAAGATCAGGAGAGACTTGCCTGTTTTCACCCACAGGCGGCCCGAGATCTTTGGTTATGAAGTTTGAGAGAAGGAGAAGTTTGAGAGACAAGGAGGAAGAAAAATGGCGGCATCAGAGCTTTGAATGAGATAGGCAGATGGACGATAGTCTGAAGGCTCAGTGAGCTAATTCAGGGGTTGGATTCCTTTGGTTGACTCGTTATGGCAGCTGAAACGGTAGGGCAGAATCAGCCCACTGCAATCGTGCCAGATCATGGATGATAAGATTACAGTCCCATTTCTTATCTCGTCAGGGATTTCGAGAGCCTTTTTCTAGACATTGGTAGAACGATTCTCAATTGCTGGCCCTTGAAACCAATTTCGATCTTTTCACTCTTTGATTCACTCTAACGCCCCAAAATCCAATAACCCTGCCATCTGTCTGTCACCATCGAGATCACCCTGCTAGCCTCACCTTATCTCCTTCTGTGCATGAGATCGCATTATCTTATCTTAGTTGTGCACCGCGGTACAGGAGGGAGCCGATACCGAAAATGAGGCGATTTCATGGCATTGGACGTTTTGAACGATTTTTAAAAATTGCATCCGTATGGATAACCAGCACGACGTGGTTGAGGGGAATTTTGAAATTGTGGCACATTGCTGAGCAACAGCAAGTCGAGTAGAAGGAGCTTTGGGCAGGGTTCAATGCACACCACGAGTGTGAACCGGCCCGTCTAGAACCCCATTCATTCAATTGGCCAATTTTCACGAAAGTTGACCACGAGAGGCAGACCCAGCCAGGCCCTATCCCTGAATCCACGGTTTTTCCGACATTAGCCGCTGAGCTTTGTCTTCGCAGTGGCAAAAGTCCGAAGAGGGAAGAATTAGCCAAAACGTGGGTCAAGGAGAGGGAGAGTTGAGGATTTAGGAGGAAAAATTTGAAAATTGAGCCAATTGGACCTAAAGAGTACCAGTGAATTTGTTGACAATCGAGTTCAACCAGCACTCAATTTGGGTACCACCTGTTGAGCCTCTATCTCTCCTCCCTATCTAAACGATACCACCAAACCCACGATACCACCAAACCCAAATTACCCCGCTCTCCTAACTACCTGACCTACCATTCCCCTTCAGGCCAATTGGCAACAACCAGCGACCATTCACATCTCTCCGCTTTACCCCAACGGTCTATACGACCATTCTCCTCGCAGCAGGTTCTCCAAATTCTGGATTCCCCAATCTGCAATTCTCCAAATCTGCAATTCTCCAAATTCCTTCTATCGTGATCTTCTCCACCTGGCGTGATAACACTTCCGCAGATCAGCCGTGTTTACGGAGCAGCCGATAAGATAAGATCGGCTAACCGAGTTCTCCGCATGTTTTGACTTCGTCCGCCTGAGTTTTTTGCAACCAGCCACGGTGCGCCGGTTTTTTGAGACTACCTGCAGGACACAAAAGGTGGCCTAAAAAAATCTTCCACCGGTTTCTCGAATCGAGGCTTGCCGCTCGCACTGAGCAACTCCGAAGGTGAGGCGGTGCCAAAAAAAAGTGGCAATTGGAACGTCAGGGGCAGGGGCATTGCAATTGCCTTGGGTAGAGCAAGCAAAACCCGTACACCTGTCCGTTTTCGGGAAGTGCAACTCCGACTCCTTCAGAATTTTTTTTTTGCCCCTCCATTCCAAAACGGCCTGCCGGCCTGGAGTCAGCCACTCCGACGCACTAGGCCGTCAAGCTGTAAAGCGAAAATCAGGAGCTGGCCAGGCGGTTCCAGCGAAATATGGACAATGGGCGAAATTCAAAGGCTAATATTAAATTTGCTTTTCTTTGATCCCTATTCTATTGTGCCCAAAATCGGCCGCTTTGTGCTGGTGGGCTGTGGCCTGGGCGGGGTATTTCTCCAACGAGACGTGTCGTATAAGAGTCAGATCCTGCACACAGCGCAGATGTTGAGTTGACACTCTCAGTTTGACTGCCCAACTGCTGCGAAATAGGGTCGCTTCGGATTATCTCCCCCTTTTGTGTGCAGGCCCGCCCATCACTTTACCCCTCCCATATCGTATACCACAATTATAAAAGGGAACAAGATCCTCCCTCACTTGATCTTGTTTTTTTCCTTATCATCACCAGAAACACCGATGTTCAACTTCTCGAACCTCGCCCGCCTCACTGGTTTCGCCCGCTCCGCCAGCCGCTCCGTCTCCGGTTCGCAGCCAACCATCACACTTTTCCACAACACAAAGCTGCCACACTCCCACCATCTCTTGAAGAGATTGCAAGAAAGACCAACACAATACCGTTTGGACGTCAGAACAGACCAATTGCCTCTGTACCTGACCTACCATTTTATCCACGAAAAGTGCATCAATGTCCACCCACAGAACGCTCGCGGGTTCGAGCGTATCTTTCCTAGCCTCCTTGCTCTGCTGAACCACACCTTCTGCGACAGGGAAGTGATCAGAAACTCCAAGACCAAGCAGTTTGTGCCGGACATTGACCTTGTGCTGGAGCTGATGTACCTCGACAAGGTGGCCAACCACAATGCACAGCAGGTGCCTCCTTTTGCAGTCGACTGGGTGAACCAATTGATTGCTGTGGACGACGAGAGCTTGAACCGTGTTTTTGCCAACTACAACCTGACGCATATTGTCAAGCACGGAGCCGAGAAGCTCAAGGGTTCGGCTGTGCTGGCTCTTGAGAAGGACCCTCTTCCAGAGATCAACTTCAACTGTGTCGCCACCGACACCTTCACGTCACGGGCACTGGCTGCCGCCATGGCTTGTGCCGTGCACCCACACATTGCCGAGTTTGCCGATCTTTTCTAGGTCGGGTGAAGGCGTTATAGATTAATAGAATGGGATGGATAGGAAAATGAGAATGTAGGCTGATAAGAGATAAGGATGGAATTTTATGATTTACTATTTGAAGAAACTCTGTCGATCGTATTCGTATCTCGTTTATTCTTTGTTTTGTAAAGTTTTGCAACCACTCGACAATTGACGAAACAGGCTTAAGCATTGGACTGATAAGCTCACTCAGTGCTTCAGAGCCTGATTATTTTTAATTTTATTTTGTAAGGAGCTTCCAGGAGCAACGGTGTTTTTCAATGTTCGATCTCCTTTGAGAACGACATGCTGCCAAATGTGGAAACCGCAACATACGCCATGACCATGAAAATTGCCGACCTGGTTATTTGCAGCCAATAGTCTGGCTCGAAATTTCCAAATACCAGCCTCAATCCTTTTCAAGTCCAAAAAACCTTAAATGCCCATTCTCTTCGTGACGTACTCCTGAGCTAAAACGGCAAAACTGAGCGAAAGACCGTCCTGGAGCCACTCCTTGACCCACTCACTAGGGTCCACAGCCTCGTCAGCATCGCCACCGAAGAACTCCTCCACTTCGCTGCGGTCCCCAGCAACCCAACGAGCCCACTTCAAAGGGAACGGCTGGGATTTCGTGGAAATGGTGATCTTATTGGAGATATCCTTCAAAATCAAGGCAAATGCAAAAGACTCAGCGTTGGTGGAGTCGATAAGAACTGGCGCCGTGGAGGTGGTTTCTCTCTCAGCCTGCTCCTTGGACCTTTCGGCCGTACCCGTGCTGATGGGCTGCACGGCAATGAAAACGTTGCTGCTGTTGATATCCAAATCGGCGTCTCTCGCCGTCATGTTATCCTCTGCCTCTTTCAAATCTTGCTCGCTTGTCTTCTCGGACTCGGTGATTTTGAGGTAGTCCTTGATGGAGGAGTCAAGGTTGGCGTAGCACAATTTCTCACCATCGATCATCTTGCCAAAGAAGATGTCCAAGTCGTAGTAGGGGCCAGAGCCTTCTCTCAGTTCATGACGGTGGTTGAAGTTGCTCACGGTGACCTTGATACCGCCCTCGACCTGCGACATGACTCTGTTGAACTTGCTGGCGCAAACGCTGTCCAAGTAGTCCATGTTGGAGAAGTCGTACACAAGCATGATGTTCAACAACTCGTCCTCTCTGTCCATGAGCCCCTCCTTGATCTGCTGGGAGACGCTGCTGAGGATTGTGTTCAAGCGGGAGGTGATGTGGGACACCTGGTCGTTGTCCAAAGCTGGGTTCTCGTTCAAGAGTTTCTGTCTAGAATGACTGATTTGCTGGGATGTGGAGGAGGCCAATTGGTACGTCTGTTCGCCCAATTGGGACGCGTTGGAGGTCAAGGAGCCCCACAAGGACTGAGCCTTTTTGGATCCTTCAGAAGACCACCACAGCGAAAAGGAGGCAATGGGGTCTCCAATGTTAGCAGCTTCTTCGATTTGTTCCTGAAGCTCAACTTCAGCCTTTTTCTCCGTAAGAGCATCTGGAACAACAGCATCAGCCGCCTTCTCTGCAGTTTCACTAACGGTAGCAGCAGCTTTTTTAGCAGGTTCGATCTTTTTCTCCTTCTTGGGTCCAAGTTTTCCTCTAGAAGGACTCAGCTTTTCGTGGGCGGATAATTCATCGAGGAACTCTAAAAAATCGTCACCGCCTGCAGAATCGTTTGGCCCCGGGGTGCCCAGATTCAGGTCCGGAAGCGAGTTGATGAAGTCCATCACGTCGTCATTTTTGCTCATGGTCAGTTGTTTTGAGATTGAGTAGTAGGTGCACTTTGATGATACCTTAAGGGTTCGTGGTGCACGGGTGTGGGACCAGCCCTACCCACATTCCAAGGTCTGGAAGCCTAAGCCCGGGTATAAAAAAAAAAAAGGTTTTCATTTGGGGGAGGCTTAAGGGTAATAAGGGAGCTGTTTTGGGGGATAGGCTTTGTTTGGTGTGTTTGGGGGAGTGCATGAAAAGTGACATTTGCAGCCGTGTAGTGGCATGGGTGGGGGGTGTTATACTTAGGGAGCCGTTTTTATGAAAAAGGGAAAGTCTTTTAGTAAGAGGCCGTATGTGGTATTAATCAATAAAGCAGCTCAATTGAAGGTATTGTCTCAATTTGAAGAAACCATGGAGATGCCTTTCAACTATGTAGATACCTCAGGCATTACCACAACAGCATAAGTAAGATACATAGATGGAAATCGTCAACTTGAAAAACCTGAAGGCCAAATATCCTGGATTTTTCAAGCCTTTAAGTGATTTGAATTTGATATGACAACTCAAATGATGGTGTTGACTTAATTTCAACAGACTATGGAGATGCCTTCCTTCTATGTAGACAAGCATTACCACAACAGCATAATCAGGATATATACATGAAAACCGTCATTTTGAAAAACTGGTGATTCCCATAAAACGTGGCCAAAAATGCCCGACATCTTTCAAATAGTCACCTCCAATACGAATTTCATATCAAACCCGTAACTAGAGACCACGGCAGACTCAACAACTATAGGCCACCGTCGAAACGGAGATTCCAGTTACATATCTCCGTTCTCCAGTGGCTCAGATATAAGCCAAATAAGCTATTCTCAAAGTGCAATTTCAGTACTGCAATGGTTGTTTATTATCTGATCGAACTGGAAGCCACGAGCATGTGCAACTTCGGTGGAACACTTCCTTGCATCACCGTAATTGTTCCACAGCCCCGGGGGTTCTTCAGGGTTGCGATAGGCCAGGATTACCAAAAATAAGGATATCGTCAGAATTTCAGAATTTCAGAATTCAAGATTTACTTCATGGAACTAGTCTCGTATATGTCTTGAGCCGTACCTCCACGATGAAACCCTACCACTACCTATAAGCTCAATATCTATAGATGCTGCTTTATAGACGCCGCTCCATAGATGCTATTCCACGTAAGTCCGAGCCTTCACCACCTTCTTCTTCTCTTAAGCCACTCCCCTTTCTCCAAAACCCCCGAAAATACCTATATCCGCAAGTGGCGAGTGTGTTTCGCATCTATACCCAACGGCTGCACATCCCAAAACGTCTAATTATTTACATGAAAATCCCAGCCCGGCTGAATTTCACCGAGGCGTAGCCGAGGATCCACCACGCTGTGCCACCCCTCAGAAGTGCAATATTTTCAACCTTTGATGTTTTTCGTTTTTCATGTTTCCCCAGAAACCAGGGGACCCTATTTTCTTCGTTGCGGCGATTTAAGGTGACGCCAGATATACCCCTGGAAACAGAAACAAACATGGAACTTCCCGAAACAGGTGAAATCCATGTACCTCTCCGCGGAGGATGTCCGTCAACAAGCCCGCCGAGGCTCGCTCGGCCTGGGGCTCAAAACGCCGTATTGTCTCGTAATCGTATTTTCATCCTCGGCAAAAGCTGTGTCGATCCAGGAACCAGCTGGCGATCTTAGATCCTGGCGATTTGCAACTATAGATTTTGATAGACTCGGACGTCGATAGACAAGGCGAAACGCAGAAGGGTAATAGAGGGTTCTCGAGAATCAGGAACAAGGCACATGTTGCTAAAGTGCATGAGTTGGAAGAGATGAAACGAAGGGTGCATGAGGCCCGGCTGCATTGGGACTCGGCGAAATGGGGCCTTGAGAGAGTGCCATTGTAGCATAAGGGGAACACAAGGATCTACCGCTGTAGCCATGCTTGTCCAATAATTTTAAAGCTCTTCCATCTCCTGCCAATGATTGTGTGTTTGGGATGCTGCACGTCGTGGTTGCATTGGGTATACATCCTCCCCGTATTCTCTCTGTCCTGCAGTGATTTTCCCAACCTAGCGTCAATTGTGCATCTGCTCTCTCAAGCGTGCAGCAGCTATCTCAAACATGCGTCTCCCATCTCAACCGTGCAGGGACCATCGAAACCGTGCAGCTCACTCCTAAACCGTGCAGAAACACATATATCACTTGCAGAAACATACGGTGCCCCTAATATTTTTCAACCTTGCTGCATCGCCCATGCCTTCTTGAGACGCCCGCTCTCCGGCGAGTGGCTCAGGTCTGTCTCATATTATACAGCCTTGCAAATCTTTATATATTGAACACCTCCACCTGGTTTTCCGTCGAGTACCCATGTCGAGAACATCCACACCGACCAAAATCTCCACCCCTGTCAAGTGGAAGGTGAAACTCCGCTCTCTCTACAAGCTGAGGTCGCTGTCAGCCTCACCCTCCACACCGGAACGTACCCCAACTACTCCAGATGCCGATTTTCTCACGCCTCTTGATGTGTACGACGATGGCTATTTCACTCCGCTTACAGACCAGAAAGATATCACTTTGGGGGACCTTACGCTTCCTCCACCGCCACCTCCACAAAGAGCCAAATGGGCCAGCATGGACCCCGATAGTCCGTTGTTTGAGCACTCGTTGGGTCCTAAATCGCCAGGTCCTAGGGTAAAACCGTATTTTGCAACCGCCAATCGCCAGCCTATCACGACAAGCATCGACACTTGCTTCATCTGTGAGGAGCTGCTTGAAACGACACTCTACCTTGAAAAACTCGTGCCTCTTCTGTGTGGAGACCGGGTTCATGAGGAGTGTTTGAGAACAGCCGTTAACCACGAATTGGAAAAAAAGCTCCAAAACAGACAGCTCTGCAAAGCCAGCCTGATTGCAGAAATGATGCATGCGGTTTTCCCACAATGCAACGGCCCGCTTTGTTCTGCAAAGCATGAATCTCCCATGGCTGTTCCGTCGAATAATGCGTTTTTGGACGACTTGAACGACGATCTCCGTCTTTCCATGAAACTCACCCGTTTCGACGAGTCGAGGACCCTAGATCCAGCGAAAATGGAAAACAAGGCTGCCGGTCGGCCCTCGTTTTCTGAAAGTTTACAGGACCTTCTTCCTCAGTCCAAACCGGTTCCCAAGGTGCCGCTCAAAATCGAAACAAAACCGCCCAGCCGGCCTTCGTCGCTTTTTTCAAACACTAGCGTCAAAACGGCCGCCACAGCTTCAGTAAGGGTTTCAGTACACGGCTCCATTCCTCCAGAAGACCTCAAACTGGCCTTTATTCAGCACATGATCAACCATGCTCCTGGATTCGATCTTTCCATGCTTGTTTCTTTGGGAAGCTTGAGATTGGCAGATCAGCTTTTGGTGAGTATAGACAGAAACGGCGCTTTCGAGCTCAAAAACGTCTACCTCTTCACCAACTACCTTGTGGTGTGGTCTGCTAACGAACCTCCCCAGTTCATGATGGTGCCTTTATCTCAGGAAACCATAATTAATACGCCGATTCCGTCGGTTCTCCAGGTTTCCGTTTCAGGCCCCGAGGCTTCCTTCAATGTCAGGTTACATTCGGAAACAAGCTCCATCATTGAAAAATGGGGAATCGCCATTTCAGACACCCTGATGACCTTCCCACCCAATATCTTTTCATCTACTATTAGACTTCCAGATATCGCCAAACCGATCGAAATGCCGGTTCCCCAAAAACCCAAAACCAGAGTTTCACCGATCATGGAGTCTTGCTCGGAATTCAATCCAGCAATTCCTGAAAGAAGCCCAGAAAGAGGTACTCTTAATTACGGAGGTCTCCAGGTGTATAACGACGAAATAGCACCATTATCCAGACCCACCAGTCCACTTCGTCTACAGAAAAACTCGCCATCCTCCGAGGAGTCCACCAAGGTGGGTTCTGAAATCGAAATCAACAAAAACGCCTCTCCGGATCAGTTGGCACAAATGATGAAAATCATCGATTCAGACCTGGACTCCGACTCCGACTCCGACGAGGATCTGGACTGCGAGCTCATCAACAAAGTCGTGAACTCTCTTTAGTTCTCTCGTGTAATAAGTAATGCAAATTCTATAACTATAGGGCGCCGGAAAACCGGTTGATCTCGAGAAGTAGACGGTTCACCCACGCCTCTCTCAATTGCCGGGACCGGGCCATGAACACCATGTTCTTTCCTGTAAGCCCAAGGAGCCTGATCATCCTGATCAAGCCTGGATTAGCGGCCACATCTAGTTGGTGACGAAGCTTTCTCTTTTGACCGAACCAAAGGGTGAAACAAAGCTGTGATTCCTCTTCACACAGCTTCCAGCCATCTGGATAGATTCTGGGAAGCTGATTGTGTCCAGAAATTTTTTCTTGATTTCCGCTGTCGTACTCTATCAAATCGTAAACGGTCTGGTTGCCCAGGTAGACGAAGCATTCCGAAACAGGAATTGTGAAGTGGTGCTCGTAACAGGGCCGTCTTTTGAGCATACCAGTTGTTTTTGACCGTCTCGCCAAGGAAAATAGAATGAGGTAGCCGGGAACCAAAACCACGTAAAGCGAGCTGAAATTGGCATGTTTCTTGTGCTTCATGAAGAGGTACCCGCTCATCAAAATGCACTGTGACATGGCCAACCCATTCATATCAAAGGTCTGCTCATTGGCAACGGCAAATGCGTTTTCGAAACCGTGATACTCGTTGACAAAGTTGGAGTCGACGTACTCGCTGAACCGAAGTTTCTTCATATTCGATTTTCGAACTTCTGTGGCTTTAGCAATTCTGCGGGCTTCAAGCATGCGATGAAAGCTGACAATGTCCCGAAGCCGAGCAACCCATTCGTCACGTATGGTCTTGCTGTGAGCCATCAAACGGAATTTGGTGCCGTTCATGAGTTCAATTTGAAACACACAATCTAGAAATTCCTCTCCTTCTAAGTCCTCTGCAACACCGTGCCAGAAGAATGCATGAAAGTACAACTGCTTCTTGTACAATTGGTTGTAGGGATACGGGTCGATGGACTTGACCTGAAGGAGGTCCAAAACACCACCCGCCTTCGTGATTTGCCCTATTCTTCGCTCAAGCTCATCCACTACATGTTTGTCTCGAGCCTCGAAGTTGGGCTGGTTGAGCCATGGAATGTGACCATGCTTGTCGACCTCAAAGGGGTCTTTCACAAAGAAGGACGGTAGTTGGCGGAAATCTTCGTCGTCAACCTGTAGATTATCGGATTCGTTATTCGGTGAAGGAGGACGGCCTTCGAAAAGCTTCGTGAAAAAGAACATATGGTCCACCGTGAAAAAATACCCAAGTTTGTAGTAAGGCGACATATTGGTGAGATCCTTACCAGCCGTGTTTGTAGCTCTACCAAGGTAGCCTTCTACCGGATACGGCCGTATCCATGTTACTCCTTTCTTATCATTTACGCTGATAAGTGGTCTGCTGACCTGTCGGAGCTGTAATTCGTAGGTCTGATGCATGAGCTTGTGCATCACGTAAAAAATCATGCTGTTTGGCGGAGCCCACTCTAAACGATCATAGAACTTGAAGCAGAACCAAGGATCTGGGTTTTCTGCTAGCCAGTTCTTGACTGTTCCGTCAAAGCGAGCAGCATGGTTGAGCTTTCGATATATCTTGTCTCGAAGGTACATCGGAAGAACACCAGGCGAAATGTGGTAGCCAAAATCTAGACTCGATACCTCTATGCTATGCTGGGTTTGCTTGAGATCTCTCAAGACAGTAGGGGTCATGGGGATCCTGATACCCTGCCCCAAGCCTGGAAGGGTGACGTTGAAAATGCAAGGTTCTTCGTCTTCTAGGATTTCGTTAACGACAAAAAGCCATCTGTAAGCGACACTTTCGTACTTTGTGTTCATGATCGCTATTCTCACGCCCCATTCCTTCGGCACAGTGACACTGATAGTCTTATCGTTGTTGCTGTAGAAGCCGATTTTGGCGCCAGGCAAAAGCTTCAATTTGTGGAGGGGCTTTTCGTCAAAGTTGTTGCCCTTCTTGGGATCGTAGAACTGCAAAACAAGAAGCGCCAGCAGGTCGTCTGCCTTCCGAAGAACAACGTTATATTCTCTCCAGCGGTCTGTAATTCTGAGTTTTCCAAACAGTTCCTCGTTATAGTGAGTCTCCAGGTAGTTATCCTCGCATTTCAGCAACTGGACGAGCATTCTGTCGACCCTGAGAATCTGGCCTGGCTTAAACTTGTTCATGATACGCCGAGCGACCTTCAGTTTGACCCTAGAGCCCTTGCTTCTCGCTTTATTGCCTCCTTTCTTGGCCAATCCGCCGACTTTCTTGAGCTTCTGAAGATGTTTCTTCTTCGCCTTGATATACTCGTTTTCTAGTTCCTGGTGCCTGGCTTCGGTTTCAGGTTCTGGAGATGCAAACGCCATGCTGGACCCACGAGAGCTGCGAGCGCTGGGGTCAAAAGTCACGCGATGGGGCTGAAGATGCTGTGTTTTTGAATCCACCAAGATCGGTTTGAGATTGTCTCCAGAGGCATGGACCGTGGAGCCTTCGAGGTGATCGTTATTTTCAGCATCCCTCTCCTCATCAACAAAAGAGTGACGTGGTAAAAAGAGCCTAGGCCCGTCGTAGTCACTCACAAACAGCTCCTCGGAGCCAGTATCGTTGAATGCCTGGTTAAAGAGAAGCTCATTGTGGTCATCGAAATCAACAGTAGGTCCTTCCTCCGATACCGCAGAGGCCACAGGGCTCAAACCACCAGGTATCTCCAGATCGTCATCCTGGACACGTTCACCTGGAAACTCGATTTCTTGAATTTCCTGGTTCAAACAGGGATCTAGAAGGTCACCCGAAAACGCCTCATCTGGATTCTCCTCGGTCCATTCGTGCTGCTTGTTCGTCCAGTACAGGTTCTGAGTCACACTCAGCTTGATAGAACGGTCGATAACCGTATACGAGCCTTTCAACTTCAGCCGTATCTTCTTTTTAGCACGTTTCACAGTATTGGCTACGAGCCCGTACTGTTTTCCACCGTACCATGCTTGTGGAATGGCTCCTAGGTATATGACTTTGGATAGTTCGCCGACTTCATGGGCAGGAGCATACAGGAGGCGAAATGCTGTGAAGGAAGATCGTGGGATGGTAAAGGATGTAAGTGAAGCTTTGGTGGAGTCCCCGGACTCCAGCGACATTGTGGAAGATGGTAGTATGGATAAATGCAAATCTGTGTGTTTATGGGAAGTTTTCAATATATCGGGCAATCGCCCGTTATGAAGCAATCAATTTAAACAGGTAAATTGGCGATAAAGTTTGGGTGTAAAGAGCAAGAATGGTGATATCTGTATGTCCTGCGTCTAAGCGCCCAGACAATACCTATCAAGAAGGTTCCAAAAGACGGATCTACAGGTGGCCTGAGACGATTTTTCTATTAAACGACGTCTTCGTCCTGGACACCGATGGAGATGCCCTCTGGGCTCATATTTTCGGGTGGCGAGATGCTGGGCACAGCCTCCAAGGCAATGTACACCAAACCAATGACGAAGATCAAGATGCCGGCAAAGAGACGGAACCACAGCGCTCCGTTTATGCTGGCGCCGATAAGCGTGTAAACTGGCGGTTAGAAGGAGGGGCAAAAGTGGCGGAACAAGATACATACAAACGCCTCTTCCGATGAAGGAAAAGAGGAACAGGCCATACGTGTAGGCCTCGCTAGGAACACGGAATTCTGCTGTTAGTGGGAGGGAAGGTAATGGAATTGGAGTGACATACCGAGTAGGCCTAGAACGGCACCGAAACCGATGATATAGATACCGATAATGAACTGTGGTTAGTGGGATTGAGGAGGAGGTCATATTTTCCAAAACATACCGATTGACTGGAGTTAGTACCATGGATGGAAAACTGGATGATGGATTATCATGCTGACAGAGTCTGGACACGTCATTCTTACGCGTCCCCGAGATATTCGACTATCCTGTTATACATACACGCCGGAGAAAAGCTGGGATAATCCCGAAAGAACCTGGGGTTAGTATTGCTTTTTTCATGAGGATCGGAATCACATACGGAAAGAGCAGCCACAGCCAAGTTGGCGCCTTTGAAAACGCCGTTGAGGTCTTGTCCACTGATAGCGTCCATTTTATGGAAGTAGTTGATATTCGAGATTTCCTGACAGGTGGAGCGAAATATGCAGGGACCAGTCACGGTTTGAAGATAAGGCTGGGTTGGCGAAGCCTAGGATGGAGGGTTTTTGGGGTCAGAAGGTGGGTTTAGGGATTTTGATGATTTGAGCTTTTTTTTGGCTTTTACTGTTTTATGGGAAGTTTGTTGAATTGTGGCTCGATCCATGGCTGCGAAACGCGAGATAAGGAAGGTGACGTCAATTGGGGAAGATCTTGGGTCGACGAGAAGGGGAGATGTTGATTGATTTGGGAAATTTACTTTTGGGGAGTTTTTGGATATCTTGAGGTTTTGGGGATTTGCAAAATGGTATTTTTGGGATGTCGAAGTGTTGAGAACCCAGCACTGCCTCATTCAGAAAACGAGGAAACGTCGAATGGCATATGTACTTTATTTTCACCAAAGGGTCAATCAGTGACAGGATTTCATTTCTATTGGCTACTGTGTCTCGTTTGTCTTTACCAATTGTGACATGTAAAGAATCCTTGATTATTATGGCATCGAGATTCAGGCTTCTTATAGTTGGGCTCTCAGATTCACAATGTACGCGGACTAGGGTGATTTACTGAATTGATGGTTCTGTTTCTTAATACGACTATGGAAATGAAATCGCCAATTTGCATACTTTTGTATTCATTCAAGGTCTCCTAACCAATTCGTCTACTGAATGCGATCCATGATTTTCAAAAACAAGAAAATATTGATCTCTATCCAGGCTTCGATCTGCTCACAAACGAGGGCTATCTTTAAACGAGGCGAATGCTTAAACCACTGAATCATGCATCTGCATCATGCACTTATAGGCTATTATGGCTGCGAAAGATACATATAGACTAGGCCATTGAACCACATTCACACACAAGCCAATAATACCTGTTCAGAGATATTCTCCCAATTATACAATGCTTGGAAATAATTGTTATAGCTTTTTATCAAAAATATAAATATCAATTATCTGTGAATCAACTGTACCACCTGTACTACCTCACAACATTTTTCCCAACCACACATCCACACCACATCTCTCCAAGCCACTCAATCAAATTCTCCAACAAATCCAAGAATCCAAATCCCTCCTATCCTTCTAAAATAATTCAATTTGGAGTATAGCCCGCCTGAATGGTACTCACGTGCCCGCCATCACGCGCCTCAACACGCTTTTCCACAACCACAACTTCTTGATCTTCACTACCATGTCCAGCAACGCTATCTTGGCATTGGTCTCTGACCAAAACAGCCCGGATAATAACAGGCGTACTGCAGCAGAGCTCCAATTCAATAAATTAGTCAATGAAAGCGCCAATCAGGTTGCTTTTGAGCTCATCCAAGGCGCGTGTTCTGGAAGTGACAGAATCGATATCAGACAGGCGTGTCTTTTGCATTTGAAGCGATTGGTGCCGAAATACTGGTCCATGGGGTTCTCGCTGTTTGTGGGACCTCCAATTGACCAGAAACTCAAGGAGGATATCCGTGGATCGTTGATCCACTTGGTTTCTTCAGATACCAGTTCCAAAATCAGATCCGGTGCTGCTTATGTGATTGTGCAAATCGCTGCTGCCGACTACCCGGACGAATGGCCTGATTTGTTCGTTCGTTTGTACGATTTGGCTCGTGATTTGACCAACCACACGGCGGTAATTGGCAGTTTATCCGTATTGACCGACTTGTTCGATGATCTCATTACGGAGGAGCAATTCTGGGAAGGTGGCGTCGGCGCACAGCTTCTTTCGTATATCACAAACTTGTTGAGCCAGGAATCTTTGCCCGCTTCTATCAAGACCAGTGCTCTCAAGTTGTACCTCACCGTTTACAATACATTGCTGAGTGCCGAGGCCGTGGAATCGCCAGAACGCAAGTCAGCCGTCACCGAGCACATAGCGCAGATGTTTGTCCTTACGGGCCAGCTACTACAGCAGCTGAATGCTGCCACGGCCAATTCTGTGGATCTTGCTGAAATATACCTCAGAACTCATATCTACAAGGTGATTGCCAACATCTTGAGCACATACAGAAAGCGCGTCAGCAAGGACGTGGTGAGAGATGTGCTTCGGCTCTTGCTCCAGGACCTCACTTTCTCCTCCAATGCCTACAAGGTTTTCGGAGTGGATGGTGAAAATGCTCCTTTCGTGAAGTCTGAGGACTTGGACGACCCTGTCCGTGCTTTGACAAACAACATCGCCGAGCTTTTGCCCACGTTGGCCCTTATCCAGGAGTTTATTCCTCTCACGCTGAACTTCCCCGTTGAGGTGTTTGAAGAACTCACACGCAGCATTGTTCAATGCTCTGTTTTGCTGGAGGAAAATGCTGAAGAATACCTCGCTGACTTTAATCTTTATGTGACCGAAATCACGGGTCTTTTGGGTGCTACTACTGTCAGAGACGCCGTGAGAGACTACGTCATGGACCTTGGCGATAACGATGCTTCTCAGTTGTTCAATTTTATCAAAGCCCAAGCCGTGGACCTGTCACTTGACTGGAGAGCTCGTGAAGCCTACTTATTAATTGCAGAATCATGTTTTCTGAACGAGCAGGCCGATTCAATTGGCGCCGATCTCCCCTTGTCACAATACCTTTCCAGCATCAACGCCCTGGTCGACCCAAAGGCTCACCCGCTTTTGCTCTCAAGAATCTTTATTCTTCTTCCGAAGTTCATAGAGAAGTTTGCTGACAAGCTTTCGGTAAATGACTTTGGTGCTGCTCAGTTCAAGAACACCTATGCTTTTGCTGCTTCCTTGACGGACGACGATTTCAAGATCGTGCAAGCAAGTACTCTAGTTGCTGCGACCTTCTGGAAACAGGTTCCTGATTTCGACTTGTCATTGATGGGCCCTGAGCTGCAGAAACAGATTGTTCAACTCGCTTACGGTTTACTTGATGATAGTGAGGAAGACACTCCACCAGTGATAATGGAGGCCATATCTGTGGCTATCGACGTTGATCAACGCAATGCATTTAATCTCAAGATCAGCGATAGCCACTCCATAATAGACATCATTATTCAGGCTGCATTTAAAGATCCAGCCAACATTCAGCTCACGATAGACTCGGCCGAGTGTCTTGAAACATTGTTGAAGTCGGTTACCATGACTGAATACCTTCAAGTTTGCGACAGGCTGCTTCCATTTGTGATCCGTATCATTGACGAGGCGGCCTCCTCGGAAGCTGTTGAGTATTCCCCAACCCTCAACTTGGCCCTTGAACTATTGGGTAACATCTTACTGGCTGCTCCCTCCCAGACTGAGCAGGCTAACACGTTTCCAAAAGAGGTGTTTGATTTTGCATTCCCTGTTCTTAGAAAACTTATACTTAGAGCCAGTGATGACCAGATCCTTCAAAGTGCTGCTGAAGTGTTCAACAATCTTTTGCAGAAAGCACCTACCTACTTTGTCGAGTACAATGATACCACTACCAACGAGTCTGGTATGAATATCCTTGTGGCGGTCGCTGGTAAGTTCTTGTCGCCAGAGCTTTCTGATAGTGCAGCCATGAATTGTGGTCTCATCGTTGCATCGTTGTTTGAAAACTTTCAGTCGTATCTTGATAACGACTTCTTCTATCAGTTGCTTGGGGCCACTGTCAGGAGATTGGTCATTGCGAAGGCTGTCGTGACGATCGAAAACCTCATCATGGTGTTCTGTAAACTTGTGCTCAACGCTTCGCCAGAAAACTTGATCAATGCCCTTACTGCAGTTGAGGTGGTGATGCCAGAAACTCAGCAGCAGCGCAGCGGCCTAGAGGCTGTTTTACCGATCTGGTTCAGTGCATTCGAGGTAACTAGAGGCTACGAGAAGATCCAACAGAATGTTCTTGCGTTGGGCAAATTATACTCGATAAACGACTCTCGAGTTTCGTCTATGATTGTCGATGGCGACATTATCCCATACGAAGGCGACTTGATCATCACCAGATCAAAGGCCAAGACTATGCCGCAGAAGTATACGCAGATTCCTGCTCCTGTGAAGATTTTGAAATTACTCGCCAATGAGCTTGGATTCCAGTGTCAGCAGCCTAATGCCGATGATTACAACCTAGACAAGCAGGAGGATGAAGGTGACGAAGGTGATGCCGGTGATTGGGAAGACCTCGACGACATTGGAGTTCCTACGTACGACAAGTTGAAGTCGTATGTGGATTCTGATAACGAAGAGGAGGACGATGCTGCTCCAGTGGGAGACCAGACTGTGAAGGAGATGTTGCTTCAATTCTTCAAGGAGTGTGTTTCCAAGAACTTGGGCAACTTCCAGCAGTACTACGAAGCCCTTGATGATGACGAAAAGAAGATTCTCACTGAAAACATCGTGTTTTGAAGCGACTGGTGAGTCACCAGAACCGTGGTTGTGTGAGCTCTAAAGTAATCGGTACGAACCTCCACTGAAATTCTGCACCCCCCCAACTCTTATCGGACCCATTTTTCATACTAATACCTCCAAGCCCGACAATTGCGAATAGAAAGTTTCCAAATTTCCAAAACCCTCTTATTCCATATTCCCTGAAGCGGTCTGGTCAAATGAGTCTTACCAATCGCTGCGACCTGCATACACCGAGATGACCTCGATGCCTGGTCTCCAGATCTTTATCTAATCGTCCTCTTTGGATGCAAAGAAACCTCCACAGATTTTTCAAAATGACACTTTCCACCAAAATCCTACCGGTTTCCGTATCGCTGATTGCCTTCAGTGGCAACATGCCGGACATTTCCGATCCCACCACCAAACAAAACCTAGAAATTGCATCTCAAGAAGTCCAGAAACCAGGTCATGTGGTGGCTTTCCCTACAGAAACCGTCTATGGACTCGGCGGATCTGCTCTTTCTGACGAGAGTGTCCGTGCCATTTACGCTGCCAAAAACAGACCAGCAGACAACCCCCTCATAGTGCATGTATCCAGTCAGGAACAGATCGAAAGAATACTCCTTCCCAAGCTGCACAAGATCCCGGCTGTTTATGAAAAATTGATAG